GGGATAAAGGCTCCAGTCTTACATGTGCACTACTTTATAGGGGATGCCTGTTGCAAGGAGAGCACCTGAGCCAGCAACATGGTTCCAGCTGTCCCTGATCATTCTATGGCATAATCAAACATACAGTCCCCTTCGACAAAATCATGCTAAAGTAGCTCTTTGATGATCTGCCCATCGTTTGGGTCACTCCATAGAAATAACTCCTTTGATAACACCTCACCAATCCATAAAAGTACAGGATTTTCAAGTATCTCTCGTTGCTCAGTGCACTCCCGGCCTCAGATTAAGATCTATATGTTTCACGTCACACCAAAACAACAGAGAGAACTTGCTGACCAGGGAAAGGGAAAAAAAATAAAACCACACCTGTCCATTTCTCTGTCCTTCTCTTGGGCTCTCACTCCAGCCACCTCTTCCAGGCTTTAGTTCCTCAGCCCATGAGAGACTCTCTCTTTCTCTTTTTTAATCAGGGGATGAGTGGTAGGAGCAGTTACATAAGTGCTGCAACCCTGCAGCACTAACAATTTTCTCTCCTGTCCATGCTCTGTACCTATCACTTGGGCGCAGAGTGTAAGCTGGGGATGGGGAGGGGGTGGGAAGGAGCGGCACCGGCACTGCAGGGAAGGTGTACTTTAGGTCCAAAGACTGCATGCTTTTTTGGAGCTCCCTGCTAGCTCTTGGCTGGGTTGCTTGGGGGCAGGGCCAAGGAGACTGAAACAGTCACAGCTTTTGGGGCGGGGTGCTTTAAAGCACTCTGAGCCCTAAGAATGGCCTCAGATGCCTTATGGACAATCTGGTCCTGGGGTTATCTCAGAGGAGGGTGTGTGGGTGGTTGAAGCTCCATGATCTATTATCAATGCTTGGCCATTCTGTCAAGACTTACAATGGGGTTTATGATGTGGATACATATCCCATGGGAACTGGGCTGGGAACTCCCAACTCATTTCACGTAGGCCAGTGGTAGCAATGAGATGGCAAGAGTGAGACCTGAGATCGGGGGGGCTGGAGCAATTTGTGTAGTGGGGGTGCTGAGAGCCATTGAACCAAACTGTAAACCCTGTATGTTATGGAAACCCCTTCAAGCCAGGGGGTGCAGCAACACCCCTAGTTCTAGCATCTCTGCCTGAGGTGTTTGGATCCATGGCTATTGCATGTATGGCAGCTGCTACGTATAGATTTGTTTATCCCTTGGGAAACATACCTCTGATTCTTATGAAAGCAGAAGTTTGAAGAAAAGGCAATAGCTGTCATTTGAGAAAAAAGGTTTATTGGAATTTTTATAAAAGGAAACCATTTTTGAATACATTATAAATATTCTGCCACGGGTGTAACCGTTCAAATAAATAAATAAATACTGCAATATAAACAAGTAGTTTCTTCTTAAAAGCTGGTGATGGCCAGCACCTCCTTCGAACAACGAACTCTCAAATCCCACTTCAGTTCTGTATGGTTAAACATATGCTTTGATGTAAAAGCCATTCTACGTTTCCTGACTATTGGTGGAGAATAATTTATTAAAACAACCCTTTTTTCCTCCATCCCAAAAAACACCCCACCATTTCTTGTGTGTATGATTGTAGTGCAGTATTACACAACGGTGGAGTCCTGCAGCCCTTACTTACATGAGTCCTTACACTCATTAACTCAAGTCCTGGAGACTCCCTTGTAGTCAATGGAGCTAAGACAATTTTCACAGCTAAACATCTGCCCCATTAAGTTCAGCGGGATCACTCATGTGACTATGGGCTGCAGTATCTGCCTTTAATTTAGATTATGGACCTCATTCTCTCCTCATGTATGCTGGTGTAATCAGGAGTAACTCCACTAAAGCAAATGGAATTACATTGGTATGAGAGGAGAACTGGGCCCTATGAGAATATACATTTATTCTTAATGCTCAGCTTTAAATCCAGCTTAAATCACTAAGGGAGAATGATTTTTCCTTTTGGAAATTGCAAGTGTTAATTCCACTTAAAGGTTCTGGAAAAGCACCAGTGTGCACGTAGTCTTTGTCTCATAACTACTATTGCAGTCCAGAGTTCTCTGGGAGCAAAGTCCAATCAGAAAGGTACAGGAATCAAGTGGAATTATTAAAAAGATAATATATATAAATAGTCATACCTGACCATTGTACAGACAGCATGGGAGAGAGTCCTGCTAAAACTTAGATGGTAAGAACCTCTCCAACATCCTTTCAGACTTGAGTTTACCATTTAAAGCTAAATTGTATTTGTTGTGGATTTAAAGAATTTTCCTAGTCTTGGTACACTGGGCCTGATTCTGCTCTCATGTCACTGGTCTAAATCAGGAGTAATTCCACTGAAATCAGTAGACTTACACAGAGGTAAAAGTATTGAGAGAACAGAAACAGGCCCAATGTCTGTTCCAGCTCAAACTTTGATGGTAAAGGCATGTAAGAAAGAGAAAGCTAATTTAAAAGACAGCAGCAGGACAGATCCTGCGCTCATTTGTAAATCCAGAGCAATTCCACTGAAAGCAGTGGTCCTTATTCTGATACCACTTGACTGGTGTAACTCCATTGCTTCAGTGGAGTTAACTTCTGATTCTCACAGTTGTGAGATCAGAATCAGGCGTGCTATATTTTATAGATGTCCCTATAGTCTAGACTATTATACAGTTATTAGGATGTCAAAGGGCTATTAAATGCATTTAATAAATATAGTATGCAGATAAATCTGCATCTGGAGGAGAAAATGCACAAATAAAAACACATTAAACATCCATTACATTAGACTCTTCTGCAGAGCACTTTGGGCCTGATTCTGATCTCTCTCTGGTGTAAATCAGGAATAATTCTAATGCAGTCACATGGACTTAAAACCTATATAAGTGAGATCAGAATCAGGTCCAGTAAGAATGATGAGATGGGAAAATAGCTATATGTAGACACTGGGCCAGATCCTCACTGGTGCAAACTGGTTTAGCTCTGTTGAAGTCAGTGGAGCTATACCAAAGATCTGACCTTTAATCTATAATGAAAAGCTCTGCACTGCAGTTCCTCTCATGCAAAGGCCCTTCCAAAGCCAGAAAACAAGCTTCTGATGATGAGCACTAGCAAGACTGTTGATCTTGTGATGACTCCAATCTGGTTTCCATATGCCTCATTTCTTAAGTGTTCATTGTGGCTGGAGTAGCAATAGGAAAGCAAAGCGAGGCTTGGAGTCAATGCTCTTATCTCATGGATTCCTTTAAGTTTAAAGATGCAGGGTCAGATTCAGCCCTGCTATAAGAGTAAGTTTATTTATATCATGGATTAATCTGGCCTGAGAAACTTCCTGAAACACTCCTGTATTTTAGCAGGTAGTGCTATGGTTTGTTCCACATCTGTCTGCACATTCGGTGCTAGCGACTTGATTCTGCCCGACGGAAGACACTTAGAAGCAGGATCAGTCCGTCATTCCCTCATCTGCATAGGTAGCCATTTGAGTCAGGAACGAGAACGCTGCCTGCTGGACTTGAGTCCTTTCCTACCGCATGTCTAGGCAGGCTTCCCCATGTTAGAATTCTGATAAAATAAGAACTGTCTTGAACCATCATCCATACCCAGAGCCCAGCCTTTTTGGAGGCTTGAATACCTGTTTCAGTTTTTTTCTTCCATATATTCATTCCTCTGCTCTTGATTCTTTCAGGGTGCACAGCTGAACTTCCACATTAATTTTAGAGCTTTTCTGCTTTAACCAGACTCAGGGAGTACCAGACAATCTCATCATGAAAGAACCTGGTTTGGGGAGTTTTCCAGCCCGGAAGGCCCAAGACGATTACGATAAAATTCAGACAGACCATACAGACTTTATCTAAACCTAATCAAACCCCTGATCCTTTTGAGGTGTGTTCATCTTGAATTTACTAGCTACAGATATTGGTGCATCCACATCTTCACTAAAGATGAGTAAAACTCAAGGTGGATGGATGTTCAAGTCCAATGAGCAAACATATTCATAATGTATACTGACCTCTCTGGTCTAGAATTAGGCTGGCTTTTTTTCTTAGTACTTGGAGCTATTAAGAGGAATGTATAAAGAAACATGGGGCAATGTAGGGACCTCACTGCTGTCACTCTAGAGCACCCCATGATCACTCAGAACATCATGGAGACAGTGGGGATAGAACTTAGGTCCTCCTAGTCCTAAAACACCCACCCTGACAATCCCAGCTGGAGGAGAATCTCCATTAGCTATTAGCATTATGGGGCCTATGATACACAGGTGGGCAGCTATGATTCTTTCTAACAGACGTCTTTGGTGTGCTAAGCTGTTCAACGCAGTATTATCACAATTCGTTATTTCTGGTATTTCCGATTTCTTTCTAGGTTGGAAATTCTAAGAATATAACTCTTCTCTCTGTATTTGTGCATTTCTGTTCTGGCACCTGGTTGTATAGTATAGAGGGAGCTATGAACAAAACCTCAAAGTAATTTCAGTTTGGGTTTAGTTTGAGCCAGTTCTTATTGTATCCCTACTAGTATGTCAGTTATTAGGACCAAATTCTCCTATCATTTACTGTACTTTTACACGAATGTAACTCCTTTAACAGAGTTACTCTGGATTCTCACTGGTATGAGAGGAGACTCAGGCTCTAATCTTGTACATAATAAAGTTTTCTGTATAATACACAATCACTAATTTAGACGGCTGTGCTTGTGCAGCCTCCTGACCTAAAGTTTGAAGAGAAGGTCAGAAGCAAACTTCCCTGCCTACATTAGAGTTCTAAACATTCTAGGACCCGATTCTCCTCTCAGCCACTTCAGTAGCATAACGTCAATGACTCAGCCTTCAGTGGAATAACTCTAATGTAAGCTAGAGGAGAGTCAAGACCCTAAAATGTTTGGTGTTGATGCCTTGCAAATGCAGCTTATTTCAAGTAAAATAAAGCTCCACCTGTAAAATAACATACAATTCCATGTTCCTGTAACGTCATCTAGAAGAACAAAGCTTGAGTTCAAATGCTTTTCAGGTTTCTAACAGGCCTTGTGAAAGTTAGATGTTGAATATAAAAGATTTTAGAGTTCTAGCCAGTTCTCTCTCTCTAACATATTCACCCGTGTCTCCTCGCTGCAGAGGCGTGGCCCTGGCTATCTTGTATTGTAAAAGCGCGGACTTCCATTTCTTCTGACATCCATCATGGCGAGTGGGTCATCTGGGTTGACCACATCATTTGGATTGATTCTCATGGGTTCTCTAGGCAGGTGAGCAAACTGAGGCTGCAACCTCTGAGGTCCTATGTCAAAGGTTTCTCTCTGTGGGATCAAAATCTGGAGGGGATCAATGTCTGCATTTCTAGTGTGCCTGTGGGGTTCAGGTGTGTTGAATCGGATCAGAGGGATTTCATTTCTCCTGGGCAAAAACTGGGAGTACGGTGGTGGATTCATACCAGGGAAGAAAGCTTGTTTAGCCCTGCCCAGGCTGACCAGAAAGTTGTACTTGGGAGATTGGTACACATCGTATCCATTTTCTAGTGTTCTTTGTTTAAATATGCAGTCCTCTTGACTGAAGTAATGCTTAGGAAACAAAAATAGAACAATCATTAATAGAAGGATTTAATTGTTAATAAGTGTCAATACAAAATGCAAAGGCGATGGGCCAGATCCTGTAGCCATTAGTCATGGGAATAGTCCCACTGGCTTGAACCAGCCATTTTGTGAGAGAAAGGAGTACAGGATTGGACCTTTCAGTTTTGACAAGTGCCTTAGGGAGAGCTGTGCAAATACAGACATCCCCCGGGTTACGCAAATCTGACTTACGCAAATCCACACTTACGGAAAAAGTTCCGTAAGCTAGAAATGGGTGTGTGTGTTTTGTTGGTTTTTTTTGCGTAATGGTGGGGTATACGTTTCCAACTTACGCAAAATTCGAGTTACGCAAGGAGTTCCGGAACGGAACCCTTGCGTAAGTCGGGGAGTGTCTGTAACTGATTTTTCAGTTTGATGGCTGAATTAAAAAGTCAGAGAAAATATGATATGGGGTCAACCCAAAACACTTTTTTTTTTCAAGTTTTTTGGTGAACTGAAAAGTTTTTAAAAATCGTTTTTAACCTTTTTTAAAAAAAATAAAAAATAAAACCAGTAAAATTCAAAATGAAAAGGGTGCTTCAAATTTAAACATTTAATTTAGAAAAGGTCAAAATCAAACATTTTGATTTAAAAAAAAATCCCCCCCTTCCAATAAAACCTCAAAAAACAATTTGACCTGAATTCGTAAAACGTTTGGGTCAATTGAATCTGCACCTTTTTGTCAAAATAAAATAAAATAAAATAAAATAAAAAATTGCACCCTGCGCTATTCTTAAGGCCCTATCCTGCAAGATGCGGAGGGCCACCTGTAAAGTTTTGAACAGCTCTCATTGACTCTCGTGGGAGCTGAGGTGCTTGGTTCCTTCTAGGATGTACTCAGTGCATTGCAGGATCCGACCCTTATCTCTCACCAGTCTCTGATTGAGACTAGGTAACAACTTAGTTTTATTTGAATAAAGATCTTTGCTGAAAACCTCTCAGGAACTCTGAGATACAAGAGGAATGTCAGATAAATATTTTACTATCTTTATGAAGGCTCTCATGTCGGAGCCACTTCCCAGCCTGGACTGCAGACAGCAAAAATTCCGGCCGATCACTATTGACTTAATTCTGACCTTGCTTACTCCACTGTAACACCCGTGGCTTTTGTGGAGATCTCACTTGCACCAGTGTGGTAGAATGAAGCTCGATATAACTGACTAAAAGGAGCAAGTTTAACCTAAACCAAGGGCCAGGTCCTTAACTGCTGTACATCTGCATAGCTCCATTGACTTGAGATATGCAACTTTATACCAGCTGAGGAGCTGGCCCTATAATAATAAGAGACCTGCTCTGCATTTCACTTTAGTCTTAGTAAAGTTAGGAGCACTCACCGATCCAAAGATATTTCCTTTAACGTCCATACATAGGTAGCGCCCGCTCTTTACACCAGTTATCACCACATAGCCAGCATGCTCAGATTTGATCATTAGGGCACCTGTTTAGAAAAATGAAGATGTCTTAAATGGGGCATAGGTGATCCTTTTAATATTAATTTAGCTGACAGTTTCTTTGCATCCACTTCTTGTGTTTGGAGTTTAACTACACTTTTGCTAAGTATCCTCTTATTCTTTAAAAATGTAAGCCCAATACACAGAACATTTTTTGTTTTGGCTTTACCTTTGCAAATATTTCTTGAACCCTTTTTCTGAGCAAATTCCACTGTACATCTGGATTTCAGCTGTTCAGCATTTACCCTTAGTGGGAAATCCTTGCTTAAGCCACTCTCTCTCTCTCTCTGGAGCATGCAGCATGCTTTTATGCCATGATAACAAGGAAAGTGTAGTTGCAATGGGATTCATTGGCTGAATGCACACAACACAGGTGCAAAGTTAATTTTTACATCTTGCACTTCACTCCAGGGGAGATCATGATATCTTAGCGATACTGCAGCACCCTGAATATTTACTGTCACTTTCCATCCTGCTCACCACATTGCTACAGGTGAATTTTGTTATCAAAAGATTAACAAAGTGTGTAATTTTATTGGGGCTTATTCTCCACTTGGTCGCACAAGTATTATGGCCATGTAACTAACTGAAGTTTATGGAATAATATCAATGTAAAACTGGCATAACAGAGAGGGGATGCAGGCCCTTTTGTGTCTGCTTTAATCAACAAGTCCTGAGTTAATAACATACAATCATTCTGCTTCCTGGTTTGATCAAAACAGTCATAATTTAATACTCAGTCCTTTTTATATAAATGGAAAACAATTTTTTCTCTTTCTTACACATCCCCCCTGATACTCCCTGTCCATAGGAAGATTTTCATTCTTGATTAGTAGAATTGCAATGGGTTAATAATATGTTAAACAATCTTCAATATTCCTAGAAGATCAGAGTTTGTTTTGAAATGGGCAGAGCACTTTTAAAATAGCATTAAAGAGACCTGAATGAAGTGCTTTGGTTTCTACAAGCTATGGTGTTAGGGCTAACCTTTCAACAACCAAAGAAGTGTAGCCGTATTGTGCAAGAAAAATAGATCTCCTTGGGCCAAATTGTGAACCTTTTAGTCCCACCGGAGCAGTTATTTACACGAGTAATACCATTGAACTCAATAAGGCAAACTCAAATGACTTAACTGCTCACCAATCACCATCTGGCCATTTTCAAGTTCCCATTATTTAATTTGCAGTTGCATGTGCAAGTACCTATTTTATATGCAAAAGTGTGCTTTATACACACACACACACACACAGATTAGATGCCCACTTCTAAAACTTGTCTCTTGAGCAAATTTTGAGAGAAAGGAACCATAGATGCCCTTGCAAATGAGCAGTTAGGCAGGCAGTTGCATAGATGCAATTCTCCTTCTGTGTCCACCAGTGCAGGTTTTGTGGGCACAACCAGTTTGCATCCATTTACTCAATGTGCTTTTCTTTGAAAAATATGGTCCTTAGAAGCATAAGTGGCTTCACTGAACATGCCACCATCTGACTTAAATTTGGACTCCTGCAGAGTAAATTAATGATATATCTTGGAGAGAAGATGCTGCTGATGGTTTTTGACTGCAGAGCGCTACAGGTACTAGGATCTGTAGTACATTATTACTATTAAATGATCATGTAGTTTACATTTTTTAAACCGCTTTAACTATTTTTAAACAAAAAGATTTCAACTAAATTCTATTTGTCACTTGGGGGCAATGCAACCATTACATTAATCCTTGCTATCATTGTCTGAATACATGTCCAGCATATGGTCTTAATATGAACTCAGTGTACTTTCAGTCTCTTGCTGATAGTTATCTGTTTCCCCGTCTAAGCTGAGTTAGACCCTGTACAATAAGAAGTCTTGAGCTCTTTCCCCTGTTTGGGAGGCGGCTGTGTGACTAGTACACTACTTACTGTAAATGGATTGGTGAGGTGTGCCATCAACATAACCATCGGGGTTGATTTGCAGATGGAAGCTGTTCTTCTCAGTAGATGTGTACAGGTGCATCAGGCTGTCTGTGTTTCCCCAGCTGGGATTCAGCAGTGGAGAGAAGTTGGGAAAGGCAGCAATAGCCTTGAAGCTGCATAGCAGAAACAGCATGAAGTCCAAGCGGCTGCACTGACTGGGCTGTGACATGGTGCTCCTTCCTTAGTGGCTAGTGCAGCTATCTGAAACTTGATACTTTCTCACTCCTGTGTGTGTCTCTCTTTGCCTTCTCTGCGTATATTTGGAGTATGAATCCTCAGATGGGTTCCCTACTTTTTTGCAGCGGCTTATAAAGGACAGCTGAATGACATCACACAGGAAAAACTTGTCCACATCCTTGGTTTTGTCAAAGCAACATTTTTAGGAGTGTCCTGAGACCTCAAAGACCCAGGGAAAAGGAATGCACGTAGGATCTCTGGAGGGAATGTAAGGTTTCTAAAGACAGCTCTCAAAAACTAATCATGCCTTCAAATAATGTCATCTGCAAAACTCTGACATCTGAAAGCTTTCTACTCCCCTACCAATAAATAAATAATAATAAAAAAACCCAGCCCATTGTACTGTACAGAAATTGTTTTGGGAAAAATCCATTCGATTTTAAATTGAATTTTTTCATTTTTTCCTCCAGATTTATTTTTCCTGTGTTTCTGAATTAGGGCCTGATCCTATAAAAGTGCAGAGTACCTCCCTAGAGGGGCTAAGTGCCTTCAACTCCCATTCAAGTCAAAGGAAGTCAAGAGCACTCTGCACTTCTGTAGGATCAGACCCATAATTTGTGTCCAAATCCATTAAAAGCTTATTTTGCAAATGCATGGGCCTGATTTTCCTTTCATGTTGGTGTAACTCCATGAAAGTCACACTGATGTAACTGCACTAAGTGGGGGGCAAATCAAGCCCGGTGACATTAGCTCTCCTTTTTATTTTTTCCTGTTTGAGTTCTTCACTTTGAGTCACTTAAATGATTTGCTTTTAAAGTGGTTAAGTAGCTGGAAACTTTTTATAAAACTATTGGAGAGAGACTCTGGTAGTCTATTCCTGCTCTGTGCATCTAGGTAGCACTCACTTCACAGATTCTAGGTCTACTAACCGGAATAACCTTTGTGAATCTGAAATAGTTAACCTGTGAGCATTTTGTAGTACTGTAAATATAGCAAGCATGTTTTAAAAGACATGTAAAGGATGCTGTCAAGGTAAAACCTAGTATATGAAAAAAGAAATAAAAGTAGAGCTGGGAGAATTTTTTTGGCTGAAATGTTTTTCAGTAAAAAATGCAGTCAGTGATGAACATATGGCAAATTCATGTGATTATTTTGCCACATAGTTTCCAAACCAAACAATTTCAGAATAACTGAAATATTATTTTGACATTTTGAAACAAAATGTTTCAATTTATTTGTTTGAAATGACTTTTTATTTCCAAATTTCCTTTAATTTTTTGTTAACATTTTAAAAAACTGTTTGAAATAAAAACAGAATGCTTGTTTTGTAGAAATGGTCCATTCAACCCAAAATAACAATTGTGTTTGACTTTTCAAAATTACCAACAAACCTAAAAAATCCATTATTCACCCAGGTCTAATTAAAAATAGTTTCAGATGTGACAAATGCTGCTCAGCTGTCCTGCCAGTTTTTGTGGTTTTAGTCAAAATTTCCTATTTAAAAAGAAACAAAACATTTTTCTGTCTTCTTTTGCTGTTTGAAAATCCCACACAAACAGGGTAGGAGAAACTGACTGTGACTCTCTGAAACTGGACTATGCAAAAGTTGCTTCCAAATACACAAAATAATCTGAAGAATTAATGAAAAATAGATTAATTTATTTCACTTATAGAAATCAGAGGTTTTACTTTTAACAATAGTAGGCACAATATTTTCAGAAAAACAGTATTAAATTGACAGTATACCTTTAAACGTGATGCACCAAATTCTTAATTTTCTTAAGGAAATCTGGAGTAGTGCCATCAAAGTAAGGAGATTAATCCTAGATTTATACCAGTGTAACTAACAACAGAATCTGACCTGTTTGTTTCCTGTTCAATAATTGTTTGAATTAGCACAACTCTGCCAAATTCTTCTCTGTTACACCTGTGTAAATCTAGATTGACATCACTGGATACACACCTGTGTAAATGAGAGCAAAATGTGGCCTAAAGGGCAAGAACCTAAATTGGTGTAAACCAGCAACACTTCAGTGCCATCAGTGGAGCTGGACTGGTTTATACCGCGTGAAGATCTAGCTCATAGTACTTTATACTAGAAAGTGGTATGGTATAATGACTGTAAGGATTTATATTCTCTCTCTAACTACAATTTTAACTAAATCATTTTAATTAAAGCTATATTAAAGGGATTTATCCATTTTTAAAGCTGTACAGTGAGGAAAAAAAATCTCAACTCCCTTATTTCAGTCGGATATTTGGAACATAAAACTTATCGTACACGATCCAACCCATGGCATATCTAGTTCAGACCGCTATTTGGGGGAGGATATAGCACCAGAAGCTTCAGAGGAAAGTGCAAGAAACCCTGTAATAAGCAAACGTGGGATAGCCTATGCCCTGGAAAATTTTCTCCTAACCCCTACTAGTTAGAGATTGACTCATATCCCAAAGCATGAAAATTTATAACCTTCATAAAACTTTTTTCAGTATTTACTATATATTCTTGGTATCCACCTAAACATCAAGTCTCTCTTGGTATATTAGCTTTAATTCAAATGAAACTACATTTTTTAAGAGAGACTGTCCATGCTCCATCTCAGTGAATATCATCAGAGATCCCGTTCTCGCTGTGCTCCGTGCTTAACCCTTGCCACTTTAGAAAGGTTTCCATAGGGTCAGCTCGTTCCTGATTTTGCTTAGCTGTGTTTGTTTAAACTCCAAGGCTAAAGCAAATTTGTTTAAAGTCTCTTCTGTCATATTGTTAGCGTGGATTTTGCTTTTTAAGGTTTTTGCTTTTTAAAACAATTTTTTTTTGTTTTAAAAATTGGAGTGTAAGTTTGGAGTGGTTTTTTTTTTTAAACAGTTTATTCCCTTTTTTGTTTCTTCCAGCTTGAACCATTTGTTACTTTGTATGTTGGTAATTTACTTGCTTGTCCAACACACTGAACTTTTGTATGTCAGTTTCTATGACTATTTGAGCTCTCTAGGTAGTTTTGGTGTGTTTGGCAGAGGTGAGAAAGAAAGAGAAATGAATCACCACAGTATAGAGACACTGAGCTATAGAGTCTTGTAAAGGGAAAGGGATAGATCTTGATGTTTTTTGGGGGAAGAAAAAAAATTAACTGAGTTTGAGAACAAAAAATTCCAACAGCTTCTGAATTTCAGTATTGTTGTTATATTTCTTTGGATGAAGGTAGCATTTAGGGGCCCCAGCTGAGATGTAGGCCCCATTGTGCTAGGCACTATGTGCAGACACAGTAAGGAACAGTCCCTTCCTTGAGGAGTTTACAGCCTAAATAGACAAGAGAAACTAAAGTATTATTACCACAGTTTTGCAGATGGGGAGCTAAAGCACAAAGAGATTAAACGACTTGCCCAAGGTCACCCAGGAAGTCTGTAACAAAAACTGGAATTGAAACAAAATCCTCTGAGACCCAGGCTAATGTCTTAAGCACAGGATCATGTTTCCTCTATTGTTTTGTGATTAGTCCAATAAGAGGGCTGGCCTAATATATTGCTAGTTAATTTAAATATTTACTGGAATAACAAAATTACTACTTAAAATCCCGCCCCCCCCCCATTTCCTTATCTTTTCTTTTTTCCCAGTTCTCATGTGAGTACCCAGAAGGCTCTGGAAGCTTTCAGTAAGAAGAGGGGTATTTAAGGTTGTGGTTCTCCTTTGATTTGATAGAAACAATTTTATAGGTTGGTTGGTTTTTGCAACCTGTCTTTGTTCCTCTCCTGACTTTCACTTCTATTTTTTCTTGGATTTAAACTGCTGGGTTAGTTGGGAGAGAAAAGAAATAAGTAGCACAAAATATAGGCAAGAATTGAGGTTAGACTTGAATGGCTATTTCCTTGTTTCCTTCACCTACCTGATAGGGTAGAATGTACTAAAGTGCTGCTTTCCTTAAAAATCACAGTAATGTGGCATACAGGAGTTTCTGGCTATCCTATGATGTACTTTTATCAAGGGTTGTCCTCCTTCATTGTTTTGCTAAAGGCTGGGACCAACCTGGAAACTTCTTGTTGAGGCCCTCTTAGAATGACTTGAGGGCCTATGTCTATTTAATATCTCCTCTTCTTGAAGCCTCAAGGCAAAGTAACTTCTAATCCTTCCAAGTTATCTAGGATAGGCCAGTAGCCAATGCTCCTTCTTATACTTAACTTCAAGGGCCAGTAACTCCATTAAGTGATTGGTGGAGGCACCAAAATGAGTACAGAAGGTGTTCTTGGTAATAAAGATGCCATTTACTCAAAGGTACTCAAGAGACAGGGATGGTTTGAAGAAGATGCCTCTAAGAGCAAGCCGGGGGTCCCCAAAAGAGAACAATGATAATACAGCTAAAGAAGAAAAGGATTCAATGAGGAATAATGGCTTTCAAATTCACAGAGAGAAGGTGGCTGAAGAAAATGACACTCAGGACAATATGGTGTCTTCCCCTATTTAAAAAAAATACAATAAAACCTACAAAATTAACCCCAATTTAGACCTGGAATAAGCAGGCAGGACTTCCATTGAAGTATATAGGAATTATATCCATGTACATCAGGCTGAACTGGGCTGGCTGACTTTTGTTTGTAGTAATGACAATTATATAAAGTTATATAAAAGCTACCCTGTGTTGTCACTCACTGCTGCCTGTGCTACCCTAGCTACACTACTATGTTTAGCATGCTAGCTCGATGTCTCTCACCGCCAGCTCCAAGTGTGGGCATACCCTAAGTGTTCTGAGAAATGTCATTCTCATGGTGTTTACAAACTAACAGGAGGCAGAGCCTGTTACACTTCAATACTTCAGATGAAAGAGGCAAAGAATAAACATTCAAATATAGGGGGAAAAACCCTTTATTGAAACTTTACTTACACTATACATCTAAAATGTCCTACTCATTATTAGGCTCCTTGTTACAAAAATACATTATGTAGAATTGTTAGGATGAAGAGACCCATCAGCTCTACAAACTCCATTCTGCTGTTGGCAGATG